CTATTAAGCTGTTTCAATTTTTTTCGGTGCTTCAAATCTATTATAGAAATCCTGCGACACTTCCTTTTCAATGCATCCTACAATGCTTCCTGTAAACAGAGCATCCAAGTAAACTTACCCCCATATTGGCGCTAAATTTGTTATGTTTATCCCTTTTGAAATTCCATGCTTCCATTGAAGACAAAAAATGCATCCTAAATTGCATAGATTGCACCCTAAATTCCATGAATCCATCACACAAAATTGCTTCTTGATTGTCCCCTTTAGGATATTGTTTTTCCAGGAAAATGCTTCCATGCCAAAAATACTAACAGATGCATCCCCATCCTGGCACCAACCTTACTTATTTCAATACCATGCGTCGTATTTGTACTGTCCATATTTTTGTGCTTCTGTAATCCTTTATGTCATCAGTCAATATATATATATATATATATATATATATATATATATATATATATATATATATATATATAGTAATGCTAAACTAAGCGTGAGTGTAGAATAGGTTATTCTACACCCCAGTAACGGCATATACAAAATATAGTAACATATTATGTAAAATGTAGTAATTTTTGTAAAAATGTAGTAAATTACAAACTTGGGTGATAAAAAATATATTTTCCGAATTACTACATTTTGTACATCGTTTTACTAGATTTTGTATATAGCGTTACTAGGGGGTGTAGAATAAGCTATTCTACACTCACACTTAGAATAGCGTATATATGTATGTATGTATGTATGTATGTATGTATGTATGTATACTCTTATTTTGTAGTGCATTGCTTCCATACAACTAATTCCAGAAGAGAGCAAATCTATCACTTCATTCCTTACGAAACATTTTCTTACAGAAATGCTAACAATCAGTATTCTGTGTGTTCTCAGGTGACACTCAACAATGACTAAAAAGGAGTCAATCATGCTACAGAGTTGATATTCAGCTGGTAAGTTTCCTATGTATCCTTTTTGTATTTCTTCAGTGCAAACTCATGTTAATAATGCTTCCTGCTTTCTCTGTTTGTAGTTTTGAAGTACTGAGGTATAGTATGCAAAAAAATTTCCTCCCATATGTTGCGAATGGTTTAGAAACACTTTGAATGTGCATATGTTCTCTGGCATGTTAATTTGTGAATTCAAATATGTATGCTTCGGATGCGTCTAATATATGTTGTGATAGAACCAAATTAGTGCTTCTTGTTAACCATGCTTCCTTGAGTTTTAACATATGCTTCTAGTGTAGGGATGTCGTGCGGAACTGAAACAATATTTCACGGACATTAAATTTTAGCACAGAAATCTTGCCCAGCAAGTATGCAGATCAGTCAAATCGATCTTTTATGCTTCTAGTACATGAGCATCCAATAATTGCTTCGTATTAGCCATGCTTCCTACTTTTGATTTCTCACATAGTTTTGCTTCACCCACTACCCCTGTGTGCCTTTCAACCATTGCCGGTGTTGCTTTTCGGAGTGAACTTTTGTCTCAACCACTGAACACTATGTGTGCTTGATTGTTTCTCATTCATGCTTTTACTATGCAGAATTCTCTACAACTTGGTGTGTTGTAATTATGTCGACTGCAATATAGCGGAGATCGTGATTGCCTTGTTGATGATGACAAGCTCACAGTGCATGTGAGATGGTCCGTTCAACGTCCTCTGTGATGCTGGCTAGAGGGATGTGAAAACAATGTTGTTGTAATAGTTTGTATTTTATTGTTTAACTAAGTATAATATTATTCAATGTCGCATGTTTTTTCAAAAGAACTCATGCTTCCTTGTTTTCTTGTATGCTCTTCTATATTGCATATGTTTTACTGTACACAATGCCAATCATGGTTCACTGGATTCTCATATGATTCCCCACATTGTCCTGGTGCCATGATATCTTCGGCATCAATGCAATGCGTGGACACATTACCTTGTGCTACAGCATTTGAAGCACCAGGACAATACAATGTAGGAAGCCAATAACCTGAACAATGATAAAATACGTGATTACCACTTGATTTTTTTTTGTTGCTTCATGATCATCATGGAAGCAAATTCTCTATTTAACGGAAGCAACTTTTGATCAGTAAGGAAGCATATCCCATGGTGATTGAAATCAATATAACATTATCTAATCGATGAAACAAATCACATGATAGAGGCGAGGGTCCCGATCTTTCGATGAGATGATAACTGTCGATTTGGTGGAGACGACTTTAACGATCCGACTACAAACGTGCACGATGTTGCGCCTTAGCAACCACTAAACCAATCTCCTGAGGTTACTGACGATGCTGGAAGCACGGTCAGCCTGACCACAAAGGTCTATTCCTGCAAGCAATCGAAGAACGAGCAAGAATATGATAAAGCAATCTGAATATCGCAAATATATATGAAGTATTGATAATGGTGGGGATCCGGAAGCGGTCTTGGTCTGGTCGTTGGACACAAACAAAGTACACGAAGTTGCAATGGCTAACTTTTAACTAAACAAATCCCAAGGAAAAAGCTACTAGATGGATCTACTTATATAGGAGCAAGGGGTGGTGGCCAAGGAGGTGGGAGGACGTCCCAAAGCAGCCTAAAACTAACCCTAGGTCGTACAAGGCTCATGGGCCCAAGTGGAGGTGATGCAACACCTTTGGGCTTGTAGTTTGACTCGGATTCTGCTGTAACATCAGATTGTTTCGTCCGTAACTCAACGCTCCGGACGAATTTGAAGGTGAATCCAATTGGTTTGGGAAGAGCACGAAATCTAGTTTCCAACAAAAAAAGAATCATCCCATTCGGAGTCCGTATGAAAAAGTTGTTGGCGTTTTGAGTTAGGTATGTCTGTGCAGTCCGAATCTAAATCCAGAACGTGAGAGACTTGGACCCTATCTTCTCTTGGCCCAAAAGTGACGTGAGAGGACTTTTTGAACACAACCTAAACTTCTCCTTTTCCCTTATCTTCGTATGTGGATTGCACAAATGTCCCATACACCTGCAATTAGACAAAACATAAAAGTGTGTGAAGTATTTTTGTTCTAGATAATATAAATAGATTATTAAATAGTTTGCATTAGAAATCACCTGACAAATATGCATGTATGCAATATTTTTGGTCATATCCAAGGTAGTCATGTCCTCATCATCACATTTTCATGGAAGCAATTCTTGAGTCAATGAAAATAGTTTCATATTGGTTTGGAAGCAAAATATATTAGCACACAGTACAAAAATCATGCTAAATCAAACCAAATTTCCGTCACAGCGGAAGAAAGGAAAATCTATTAATACGCTAGATGCAAATGGCACCTAAAGTGGATGCATACTTCTCGTATGGTGGATGCAGTCGTTACTGTAAATAAGGTGGATGCATCAAGTGGTTCGAAAACCATGTTCGCCATGCATCCACCATGTCAATGCCCACGATGGTGCTGCTTCCAATAACAAAAATTATATAATCCAAAATATTATGCCTTTTTTGATGCATCAGTTACGCCATTCCATTTTCTCTTAGTTTATTTCTGGGCTATCAGACTGCTTCACGGGAGCAGTTATGAGGATGCACGTAATTAGTGCAGGGACCAACTAATTCTATGTGGGCTCTGGCACACAATCGAACGACTCCCATCCATCTAATCCAATGATTGTACACTAGTCTGATAAAAAGCAAGGGATCAGTAGTCTGATCCCTAGTGGTCTTCATAAATGAATTACAGTTAACAAGCGATGTCGTCCGTCTCACATCCTTGACTCGCATACTAGTAAAACGCGGGCCAAACATAGTAAATGAATTAAATTATTTATCATATGCATGCATGTGGCTGCGCTAATTAAAGAATGATGTAACCGGGTCAAAAAAAATGATGTAACCGATTAGTAAACAGGGTGCGCTCCATGGGTCGGACGTAGAATAAGCACAATGCGCTCGGGCTCACTTTAGCACACCTAAATTGCACAGATTGCACTCAGGTGAGGAATAGTTATTCCTCACCCAGCCGAAGCACACGCCCCCACCCACACGGCAGACGCCACCAGCACCGTGGAGGCTTTGTGCAGTAATCTACAGTGGCTGCGAGGTAATATTACAGCATTGAGCGCGAGGAGGCATAACCACCCCCGATTGGAACGTAGTTGACCGCGACGAGGAGGACGCAACATCAACGGGGGTGAGGCACCGACGACCGTCACCTTAATTGCGGCCAAGATGGGGGCGAGACGCCGGCCACTCGTTCGCTTCTCCTCCAACCGGTGATCGAGGTGGATGATTCCAGGTGCGGGCACTAAGATCTCTGCTGTTGGATCGAGGTGCGGGAGATTAAACTCAGTCTCTAACCTCCCGATCGAGACTCAGACTCTGCTGTTGTATCATGTTGGATCTTGTTCGGGGATGAGACCGAGGTTCGAGTTCGATCCTGGCCGACGGGGTGAGACGCATGCTCTCTAGCCTCCCGCAGGTTCCACTCATTCGATCCTGCTGTCGGCCATCCTCCAAGCGGCGTTGGGCATCAAGTTCGGCTTCAACACCCGCACCATCCAGGTCACCTCCTATGTCCCCTCTTGCTTCTTATTCTAATGGATGGATGCTTCCTATTAATTGGTGGTTCCTTCCAGCATTACTTGGATCTCTACTGTTTACTAGTTCCAGGACGGGGCCTGGTTAAATTATGCAAGTGACAGGGCTAATTGACTAGTTCAATTAAATCACCAGTATTTAATCCACTGAGGAAAGTAACTATTTCAAGTTCTAGGTTGGTTAAAATTCGGAAGTGATTGGTCCTAATTGGTAGTGGTCAATAAGACTAATTAAGTAGTTCGAGTGCACTAATGAACTAGTTAAGTTCAGGTCAGATTCTGAATTAACTACTACTGAATACATTACAATAGGGCTAGAGTTCAGTTCGTGTTTTGCTCAATAACTCTAATGACAATCCGTGTTGTAAATGCATTTGTTATTGAAAAATCATATGCTCCATTGTGCTACACCAGTAGCATTTTGCTAACCTTGGTCTGAATTGCCATGAACAAAACCAGATACACTATTGCGAGCCAACTGCCCCCATCAAATTCGTCCAAGGTCATCCTGTCTCCTCTCAGATCTCGTTGGTCTCTCCATTCTTGGTGCCTGATTAAGCACAAGGTATTGTTGTTCATTCCTTGTTGGATAGTCATTGATATGCGTTGAGCTGAGTCCAAGTTAATGTAAAGCTCACGCTTTCTATACCGAGCTTTGTTGCCGCCATCTAATCTTATCTATCTTACAAAGTAGTTAAGCATTATGTTGTTTCTTTTGCGTATGCATGTGCAGATTATTAATAGACACCATCGCTCTGACGGGATATATGGTATTGTTGGTTCGAGCGCGTCTCTCGGTCTTTGGTTCAGTGTCATCTATGACACCATCGCTCGGCCGGGCTATCTGGTGCGAGGAAGCGCCATCGGAGAACCCAGTCCGCACGAGTAGCCATGGAGGCGGCTGGCGGGAGTGATCGTCTGAGCAAGGTGGCTCCAGCATCCTGGTGTAGAGGCGCCTCAGCGGAGCACCCTGACCCACGTAAGGTCACGGTGGAATCATCTCGTCTGGGGAAGCAATCATGGTTCTGATTGTTCATATTGATTTTGATAGCAGGGGAATTCACTTTGTACATGAGGGAAATTGAGAAGACACTGAATCCTCTTTACATGTTCGGTCACAATAAAACTCTATTCTGAATTGACTTCTGATTTCAAATGCCCTGCAGGATGCAGCAGAAGACATCCTGCAAGAATACCAAAAAGGCTGCAGTCGAGAGACAAAGCTGGGAACATAGGATGTCCGGATGCTGACGTAGAGGCTTCTCACTCTGTCCATTTCTGTTGTCTAGTTCCTTCAGCTGTTTATGTCAGAAGTGGCATGTGATCTTCTGTGAGCATATGCCTTTTAATTGGTTAAGAAAATTGTACTAAGCATAAAACTAAGTTTGTTTCTGAATTGTGACTATTGATGAGCTCCATGATCTATGATAAAGTATTGCCAGAAGATGGTTGTAATCTTGGTAGAAAGAATGGTATCCTGATATCTGAAGTGCACCGGTGAGATGAGAAATTTTGTACATTTTGTATGACATTCACTGGTCCTATGTTTTTTATTTAGATGTAAATGTCTTCAGTACAGATGTGACTTGAACTTGGATAGCTAGCAATGGAACATTATGAGTACAAGTAACTTGGAACCTTGCAGTTCATGAAGTACATCTCTAACTTAAATGTCAGAATTTGGTTAGTTACTACTCCCTCCGTCCCATAATATATGAGCGTTTTTGACACATTATATATGGGACAGAGGGAGTATTTATGAAATCTATGTTATACATTGTATATGGAGCAGGAATCTTTGTTTTCCATGTAAGCTAAGGCGTGTCCATGGCGGTCTGGGCATGACCAGGCCACGGACTGGTGTGCAACTCCTCATCGTACCTCTCATCCCGACAATGAGCGGCCCTTGTTGGTCAGTACTACTAAATGCAAATAACAGGACATAGGAGTGTTCTCTAGAGGCGGATAATGCATGTGTTGTGTTTGTTGATCTTTCTTTTATTTGCTGAAATTTTTATTAGCAACTGAGATGTAACCAAGATGTAGGGCATGGTGAGGATGTGTATTCTACTACTATGTGATTTGTTCAAAATTATCTCAATGGAATGTTTGACAATGTGATTCATTTTAAAGTTCAGTAACTGAATTAGTCTCTTTCCTTTATCTTGATGGTGGGTTCATGTGAGAGGGGAGTATGAGTTGGGACTTGAAATCAGTACGCATGCTACAGGAGTCATTTTTGGTGCCAATGAATTTTTTTTTAATTGGAATTGGACATCAATGGTACTGATAGATCCATCCATAACGGACTTTGCTAATTCAAGAAATGTATTCGCAAGAGACAATGACAAAGACATATAAATCAAAGATTTGTAAATTCAAATATCAGTTGAAAAAGAGAAAATACAATGTCATTGATGTAGCAGAGCCATAACAATTCTGCATGAACAAATGAATAAATTCAGTGGTAATTAAGCAGCAACCATAACAAGATTTTTTTTTTCTTATTCTACTTAATCTTCTTGTAGTAGCAGTGGCAATGGATCTTTTTTTTTGCTGGGCTGTAGTACACATGCTGAAGGGGAGCCTTGGCGCAGTGGTAAAGCTACTGCCTTGTGACCATGAGGTCATGGGTTCAAGTCCTGGAAACAGCCTCTTACAGAAATGTAGGGAAAGGCTGCGTACTATAGACCCAAAGTGGTCGGACCCTTCCCTGGACCCTGCGCAAGCGGGAGCTACATGCACCAGGTTGCCCTTTTTTTGTAGTACACATGCTCTTCCCTAGCACCTCCAGGATTGATGTTTGTAGAGAGGAAGAAGATTGTGACATGTCCTGGGCATTCGAGTTGATGGAAGCTAGGCCAAATCGCACTACATTTTTAGCACTAGCTAATGCCCTCTCTTCTGTGTTGGATTCAAATGCTGCAAATTCAATGAGTGGGCATAACAAGTTAGACATGCAATGAACAAGAAAATTATTTAGTTCCTGAGCAAATCTCAAAAAGAAATCAAGGTGAGATGCCAACAGATATGTGAAAGCATAAATGTGTTTTCATGTAGTAATGTTGTTGCAGTCTTACGCTAGAATCTAAATGCCTATGAGATGTGTGATTACAGTAGCATTCCCTAATTAACCTGTAATTTGCCTTTCGATCAGTACAAACCAAAAATGGTATGCCATGGTACTAGTATTATAGTCAATTGGGCCAGAAACTTTCCCTACAAACCCGTAAAAGGTGAAGGTTTAAAAAAATCAAAACAAAAAACCTCGCTCCTTGATATAAAAAGAGTGGGGCTCAGCTTCCTCTTCTCCATTTTGTGATTTGTTGAGTAGGCCTATATAGCCTTACCAGACCATTATGAGAACAATCATTGATTTATTTAGTAACATTCTGCACTGTAAAATTAGCATTGTACTTTCTCCAACCGAAGGAAGCGGTAAACCAAACATAGAAAAAAGTAACAGAAGTATGTAAATTATCAAAATGAGCAAATTGTACAAGAAAAGGAACATTATACTTCTGATTTTTCTATTCCTTGAATAAAGATAAACCTCTAAGATTATGTGCATAAAAGCTTAACCTGATAATTTACATCTGTGACAAAATTTGTACAAAACGTCTTATATTTTGGTACTGAGGTAGTAATTTGTAGCTGGGAATTCAGTCAGTAATGAAGGTTATGCATGCCAACAGTCAAGATTAGAACAAGCTAGTAGTAATCAGAAACAAACCATGACAAGAAGACACAAGTCAATAAAGATTCAACCTGGGGGCGAAAACTCTAAATCTTTTCAGTCTCCTAATTGTTTTTTAAAGGCAGACTCCTAATTGTAGAGTTTCAGATGGTAGCATGTGCGGCAGTTAACATGGAGCAGAAACAGATAAAGTGAAGAATATAGACAGCAAGAAAAGAAACAATTTTTTGTACCACCACACTAGTCAGTGTAATTTTAAGCTCGCTCGTCTGGCTACAAGAAACCAAACGTAACTAACTCTGTAACTTTAAAACATCAAAATTAAAGTGGCTAGAAAAACAGGAATCGACATCTCACAACCAAAATAAAAGGAAGCTATCTGAGGTTGGCATGACGAAAGGAAGCTAACCTGTAGGAACGCCCAAAAATTGCCATGATGACAGAACCCCAGGCAGATGGGTGTCGTCTTAAGTTACAAGCAATTCAGAATTTTAGAATTCAGAGGCAAGCGCAGTAAGTTACTGCAATTCAGCATCAGTGTCGCTGAGGTTGGCGTGCGGCCACTCCACGGACACTGAGAGGTATGGTCTGTGTGACAGCATGGACGCCCAAGGCAGCAGAGCAGTACACCGATTCTAAACGGCGCGACGGAGGCACCCATCAGCGCTGGCGACGCCCTGCACCCGAGCTCTGCCGCGACCACCAATCCTACCCTGCCGACACCTTTGCAAAAACAAACACCGTTAGACTGAGGCGGATAGGGTCGGGGTTGCAGCTGCAGTACTTACAGTCGCGGGGAGCCTGAGCGGAGGAGAGGAAGGGGGTTTTCCATATCCTCCATCCTCCAATGACGACGGCCGGGACTGGGTTCGGTCCTCGCCGTCGGAGTATCACACCCACGGCTCACAACCAGGAGACAGTTTGAGTCGCCGGAACTGAACCGGCAAAATTCTGGCTCAGTCCACGGGGTGGAGGAAGTGGGGTAGCTTTTTTTTTTTTTGAAGTGGGGTAGCTTTGAGTCAACGTAGAAAGGTAATATTACTTCCATATACCATCGTAATTTTACAGTGTGAAACTGGTGGGCAGAACGGTGGCCTGGTTGGACGCAACCTAAGGCTTCGGCTCGGTCGTTTGGCCAGGGTGAAGAATTACTTATTCTTCACCCTGTTTTAGTAATAGAGTTTCATAAGTTATATATATATTCATCACCCCGGGTGCAGAATAAGTTACTCTTCATCCGAGATAATCTTACGATCATTTCATAAGTAAATTACATTTGAAATACAAATAGTTACATTCATATTGATTTACTGCATAAAATTTGGCATAACAAAAAAATATAGGTCAAAAATTATATTTTATGTACATTTTACATTATGTTTTTACATTTTAATTTTACGTAATATAAAATATTTTTTACGATGATTATATGTTTTCTTATGTTATCTTTTTATGTCTAAAATAAGACAAAATTTACGAATGTAAAATTACGGTGCATAGATGTTAAAATATAGGTGGATAAAGAATAACTATTTTCCACCCAGGGTGACGAATAGTTAATCTCTCTCACACACACACATATGCGTACAAGG